GGATGCTACACTACCAAAGGGGGTCCCAATGAGTAGCGCCTCACATAATTTTTGGGGGAGCGACCACCCAAATACACACACTCCGAACTCTCATCCTATCATAGAGAGCAAGGAAAAATCAAAGCTGCCGACACAAATATCTCATCAGATCATAACAGAAGTATGCCCCCATGTGCGCATATCTCTTCAAAAGCATGTTACCATGCCTAGATCATATAATAGAAGCATGTCTCTATACATACATATCATATCGAAAGCATGTTACCAGTGGCATATCAGAATCATATTAGAAACATATTGTCATATACAGATCACATAATAGAGGCATATCATTGTTATACATCATTTTTGACGTACTTACATCCCTGGCTTAAATAAGGAGAGAGCCAGTGACAACCTGGTCCTACTAGTACCCAAGATACCGTCCGACCAAGGGAACACTACAAAATAAGCCTAACACTATGCAACATTGGAAAAAGCATTATCATGTCAAAAAGAGACATTACAACTACAACTTTATGCTAGGGGCTTCAAAACAATACTAGACAATCACCATTGCATCCAGAACGTTAAAAAAACCCCAGGACCAAATTTGGGCTAAATCGGACCTCCCAGGAATATTCTGGGTCCAAATTACCTCAAACAGGTAAGTTTTACACTATTGTGGTGTGACCTCACCGAACCAGTCCCCCGTTCGTGGAGGCTGCATTCTTCACATCTCGAGAGCATATGCAAATGCCCACAGATCATTTTTTTGGAATCACAACAAGCTCAAATTCGGACACGAGCTAGGTCTCAACGACCTAGTCATTTTGATATATAGCATGCGTTGTGACGAGATCCAGAACCAAAGCTTTTTTAGAAAGAAGATGAGCCCGAAACCACAAAAATCATATCTTGAAAGAAAGACATCTCGAACTTTGTGAAGCGGTAACTTGAGATCTGCACATCGGATCATCGTGAAGTCAGGTCCGATGAGACTGTATCACAAAGGGCTGCAAGATGGTATAACTTTCGCACTGAATCTAAGGTTAGATAATCACAAATTTGATGGTTGAAGAAAAGGAAGATCTCTTGGTCGTCGGAATCCCTTTTTTTGACGATCTCTCGAATTCATAAAGTACTTCACGCAATAACCAAAACTGACAAAATTTGGTACAAAACAACTATGGTAGTCTCCTCTTTAATTTGCAATCAAAATAAAGACTTGGAGCACCATGGATCGCTTTGCATTGACAGCCAAAGTTCACGATTTAGCCGGATTTTTACCACTCAGGAAAAGTCCGTCGACATCAAACTCTTCAGAATCAAGCAAGCATCAAGACTAAAATGATGGATCGTTTGAACCACTGCCACAAACATCCGAAAAAGCTTCAAGATCGCGAAAGGCCCTTCAAAGATGGATGGTTTAGTCATTAGCACAAACGGTTTAAGGGGCATTATGATCATTATTCCTAAATTCATTATTTTTATGTAATTTCTTTTAATTATAATTCAGCTTAGTTTTAAGCATCCACCCCTATTTGGTGGGTCCTCTATATAAACAAGCCTAGGTCAAATGTAAAAAGGTAGGATAATTCATGAACGAAATCGAGGCATTAAGCTTGTGTCTCTTTTCCTTTTGCTTCTAACCCTCGGATCTAGCGACGAGGGGAAAGAAAATACCCCTGACCCATCTTGAGCGTGCGGTCCCTTTCTCTCTCATCTTCTCTTGCTAGGCCACGCCTCAAGCCCTCTCTTTCTCCTCTTTCTTCCTCTCTTTCTCTACTCATTGCTTTCCCCGCGTACCAATCTAGACTCATGACCAACATACGGTTCCAGCTCTTTCCCTTCATTTCTCTCATTCTCATCGTGCTGAAGGACTCGGAGTAGCGGAACCCATGGCCTTGTCTCCCTTTGCGACCTTCCCATTTATGATTCAAGTGTAAACTCAACAAATCTAGGCCTTCACTCAGCATCTCGCTGTCCGACAAACGCTCGACTCATTACCCTTCAGAGCTAGCCCAAGAGTTTCAACCCTTGGACCTTCACTCTAACTTCCTGTCCATACGGTCGAGTTGAGCTACGAGGAACACATACGTCCTCTCCTTCACTCACGCGGATGGAGTCTTCTTGAGTCAATGGTCAAGAGGGCTCTAACTCTTTTGCTACTCTGATCGCCTGAGTGCCCAGCATTTGCGCGTATACGAGGATTCTTATCACCATTTCTCCCCTCGTTCTATTTCTTGCCAGCTAGCCCCTCATTTGAGTGAACCTTTATAAAGAAGTACTGACAAAACTGCATTGCAATTTCTAGGGAAAGAGAATGGAGCGACGTGTTAAAGCCTGAGGAGAGCTTATGTCCAAACCGCGTTGGCAGACAGTCGGAGAGCTTCGTAATTGTTCTAAAAGGGTGAATTGTCCGAGTGTGTCCCAACCCCAAACGATGAGGTAAGCGCCTAAATACACCCCCATCGTAAAATCTCTCTCTTTGTTGGTTCATATCCGCACATAGGAGAGAAGCGTACGCACACTCACAAAAGTGCAGTGCGCGCGGGTCGTCTACGGTTGTTTGAGAGAGGATTTTTCTCCAGCCATCAGCTTGAGGAAAAAATCAGGTCCGACCAATCATGAATAATTAGTGGCATGTCACATGCACATTCTTATCAAGAGGTATATCACCTAATTGATAAGAGTCACGCTTCTTATGCACACAAATCATATCATAAACATGTCACACATAATAATTATCATCTCAGAGACATTTTATGTACAAAAATTGGCATCTCACTTATGCACATGCACTATATCAAGATGGGATGAGAGTAGGGTCCAATCCTGCTAAATGTTTTGGATTTCCAGAGTAAGCACAATGCGCTTATTTGGGCATAACTTTAAATTTACCAACATTAAATTATGCGACTTATTCCTAGATAAAATAGACTCAAATTTATACAACTTTTGTTCAAGAAGAAATACGAAATTATCGAACTAAATGGGTCGATTCACTTGATCCTTAGGGAGTGAACTTTCTGCCCTGCATCAGAAACAACAGCTAATGACCCTCTAATGAAAAGGTCCTAATATTCAAAATATGTGAAATTTACTCATGAGGCATAACTTTGTGAAAACTAGACTCAGAAATGTGCAACTTTCATCCAGGAAGTAACACTAGAAAATGGACCGAGGTTGGTCAAACTATATGATTCTTCAAGGGGTAACTTTTGTTCTATATAGCATAAACTACAGAAGGCATTATACTGGAAAAGTGACCATAACTCTCAAATTATATAGATTTTCATCATGATCTCCAAACCAAAATTAATTTAGACTCATTTATCTAACATTTCAAAGTAGTTTCATCTTATTCTAGTAAATTTTGGTTAGTCAAATGCTTCACACAAAAACATGTCAAATCCTTGGATTTTCAATTAACAGATCTGGAATGCTTCAACAAATAGTTAATAGCTTTCAAATTACACGAGAGATTAACAACTGGTCTTTTCCATGTAGAAATACATTCAATATTCTAGTGACCCACCAAGATTCATGGTCGAATGCAAGGTTTAAGTTACCCTACCAATTATTCAAATAGGGACCACAACTCTGGAAATCAGAATACCCTTTAACATAATTTTTTGTAAGCATGCACCCATACTCACACTCACACACGCATACACACACGCACAAACACACATACACTTGAATTTCACATTTGAATTAAGCAAAGAAATATGTATTAACATAAGCATGAAACCATAAAAATTAAATCTACTTATTTTGCTCCAATCAAAATCCCCAAGATAAAATGTTCTACAAGCTCTACTTCAGTTGCCAAGCTTCAAGTTGATTGCATTCAGGCTTCAAGTTGATTGCATTCAAGCTTCAAAGGTTTAAGGCTTATGAGGTTAATGGGCTAAGGGAGAATAAGAAGAACAAGGGGAAAAGAGGGGCACATAAGGGAGTGAAGGGGTGAGGAGAAAGAGTGAAACCTAATTATGAGTAGGTGGGGGTATATATAAGCATGGGGGAGCATGGTGATATGTGGATCGGAGTCATGAATGAGATCATTCATACATACATCTATCATGCATGGGAAACACAATGATGGGCGTAGAAGCATGCATGTGCCACATGGTACTCAAGTGATTATGCATGATGAGAAAGAAGGCATACATGAGCATCCATGGAGAGAGAGCATGTGAGAGGAGAGAAAGTGCATATGTGTAATCATTGTATGGGTGCATGCATGTTGTAATCATGTGCATTGGGATGGGTATGTTTTATGGGGATTCATGAACATAAGAGTATGTGTACACATGGGGATGTGTGCACGACGTATTGGGATATGTATGGAAAAATATTCTAAGTACGGATCATGACTTTCTTACGGTAGCTCGGATCTGAGCAATTTTTGTACCGTCAGAAAGCTCGCGATCCCTACAATAATACGGTACCACTCAAAACACCAGACATAAGTTATCCAGCAAATCTAAAAAGAAATCTGAGGTAAGCATTAGTAGGAAACGATTCATGATGAAAACATGATCAACGACCAGAAAAGCCCCAAATCTTACACAAGGCTACCCCAAAAGCTTGCAAATCCTTGAGTTTTGCATATCTCAGTCCCCGAAAGGGAGGATAATGCTTACCTCATAGACCAAGCTAGTTACATACATGACTATCAAAAGGTCTTGCCCTTTCCAACCCCTGTCATGGAAACCCAGGTTACTCATCAGAATGTGACGGGTAGTCCCCCTTCCCCTTCCCCTTCCAATGACTACATCGGTACTCCCATACAACAATATGAAGTTTGAAGATAAGCTACTATTGCTGAATTGAAAGAGCAAGTGCATGATTTTCTCAATCAGGTTGAAGTTATAACAAGGGGAAAAGCTAAGGTGAAGGAAGTAGCATCTCCAAAACCTTCTTCTATACCTCTACTTGGTTTCACCCCATAAACCTGGGGCACATATATTCAAGAGAATCCTCATATTCATTCCTCTATGGATGCTGCAATAATGCCGACATGGGATCTTTATAGTCCAAAAGCGTATCAGATCATGAGGAAAATGGCCTATGAACCATCAAGGAATCAGGGCTTGAATGATGGTAAAGGGATGTTGGCACCCTTTGCAGTTATCGAGATCACAACATCTCAACATACACAAAAGCAAGGCCTTGGTTATTCGGGGCATGCTAGTTTACCTCCATGGTCGTTCTTCACTAACCAAATCTTTCATGTGACAGTATCCCAAGAGTTGTCACTATCTCCTCTTGAACTCATTCCCGAAGAAATCATTCTCCAAGAGTCTCAAGAAGAAGTACAACTGCTAGACTCCTCGAGAACCTGAAGGTTCAGGAACAAAAGAGACAAAAGAAAGATCATTGCCTGTAGAGCGAGAGGATGAAGTGCTTGAAGTGGATTAACAGACTTCTGATTCTATACCCCTTGATGAGGAAGAAATAGAGAAAGCACTAGAGGTCTTGGAAGATGGTGGTCAAGCCACAACAGATGATTTAGAAAAGATGAACTTGGACGATGATGTTGACCGAAGACCCACTTTCATCTCAGCTATTATGTCTCCTGAAGAGAAGGAGTACGCTAAATTATTGCAAGCCAATCGAGATATCTTTGCCTGGTATTATCATGAGATGCCTAGTCTTGATCTTCAAGTCGTTGTTCATAGGTTGGGAATTGACCCATCCTTTAAGCCTGTCAAGTAGAAATCAAGAAGGTTCCAAGCTAATTTGAAAATTCAGATTGAAGCAGAGCTCAATGAGCTTAAGACAACAAATTTCATAAGAGAAGTCAAATACCCAAAATGGCTAGCTAATATTGTGCCAGTCTAGAAGAAGAATAGTCAGATCAAGGTCTATATTGACTTTCGTGACTTGAATGCAACTTGTCCTAAGGATGACTTCCCAATTCCCTTCACCGAATTACTGATTGATTTGACAGCCAATTGTCAAGCATTTTCCTTTATGGATGGTTATTCGGGGTATAACCAGATAAGGATGGCACCAGAAGATGCAGAGTCTACTACCTTCTTGACTCTCAAAGGGGTTTTTTGCTATATAGTGATGTCTTTCGGTCTCAAAATGCCGGAGCCACCTACCAAAGGGCTCCGAAGTAATACCTGATTACTCTCGAGAACTGATCGGTGCTCGATATTAAAAGAAACTAGCACTGCTTTGCCGATTCCCAGGTCGGATCGACCGATTCTGACCCAAATCGACTATTTTTCAAACTCTCACAAGAACAATCCTGGTCAGATATTTAGTAGAGTCTAATTTCTTGTTATATTTTACTTTTAACAAAAACTGAAAGGAATTTGTTCCCCTAACCATCGATGCCCCCCAACCCTATTCGTAGTTCGATGTGAATTGTGATCTCTGTTGCACCATTAGTGAAGGGTTTACTGACTTGACAAATAATAATTTCATGTACATAAGACGGGGAAGCACTCTATCATGCTTTTGGTAGATTTGTGTCTGGCAAAGCTGGATTGGACGGTATGTTCATTTTTAATGGGTCTTCCTTCTTTCTGTTTCACATTTTATAGCATTTGAATTAGCATTTCCTTCAACCATGCCAATGCACTTTTGGGCACTGCTGTGAAAGAGAGTAACTTTTCATAACTGATGGTCGTGATATTCAATTTAGGACATTTTCGCAGCGGGTACCGACACGACACTTGCAACCCTCGATTGGGGCATTACCGAGCTCATCCTGAACCCAAGAGTAATGAAAAAAGCTCAAGACCATATAAGGAGCAAAATTGGATGTAAAGATCAAATTGAAGAGAGTGATTTGCAAGAGCTAAACTACCTGAGAGCAGTGATAGAGGAGATCTTCAGGTTGCACCCACCTGTCATTGTGTTGCTTCCTCATGAATCCATGGAAGATGTCAAGATTGATGGGAACGATGTTCCAGCTAAGACGCGTTTCTTCATCAATGCTTGGTCGATTGGAAGGCATCCAGAATTTTGGGAAGACCCTTAAGAAGTTAGGCCTGAGAGGTTTATGAATAGTGGGATTGACTTTAAAGGCCAAGACTTTGAGTTAATACCATTTGGTTCAGGTCACCGTAGCTGCCTTGCCATTACATTTGCAGTGTCCACAGTGGAGCTTGCCCTTGTCAATCTCCTTTACTATTTCAACTGGGAACTTCCCTCTGGAGTGAGACCCAATGACATAGACTTGACAAAAGTATTTGGTATAACAATGTATAGAAAAGAACACCTTGTTCTGGTTGCCAAACCATATATTTGATGGACCAGCATTTTCTTGTCCATACAAATCTGCTACTTATAGATTGAAGATGTATGCCACAAGTATAATGATTGAAGATGAGATAATATGCAGAAGCTAGTGAATCTGTCAGTTTGGAAAGGCTAAATTTGGAGGGAAGTTCAAATTGGTGGAACTCGTTACTAAATTCCTTAGGCAATTATAGCTAGTTTGTCATGAAATTCGGGAATTGTTGGTGAATATTACAAGGGATTGTATACAATGAAACCATTTACCTTTGGTACTGGGAGGTTGCCATTACTTCCAACTATTCGATGAGTGTCACAAAGTTTCCAGAAAATTTCTTTGAACTTTGAACTTGGACAATGAAATAAATACAGTCCCCCAATTTTACATGTAAGAGTCAAGATTAATTGTGACCACCTTGTACCAAAGGTAAATGATATCATTATATATTTTCCCTTATTTATTATAAATATACTTAGTGGTACTAATAGACTGGAAAACTTGGAACCTATAAGTTTGTGCAGTTCAACATCTAAAATCATTAGTATTCTTTAAAGAATTAAATCTATTTTACCATTTTCCATCACATTGTTGCTAGAAGATTTATTTCGAGTGCACAAACTTTGTTGTCAATAATTTTAGAATGAGTGTCAATATAGATAAGGAAAAGAAACTGCATCATAGTGCTCTACGATGTCCAATATCATGGAAAATTGTGGTAGAGATAAAAACTTGGAATTCAGCTTTTGAAATGAACATAATTCAAGTTCCAAAATATTTTCTTTTAGTGGCAAGGACAGTCATGAAAGCAAATGTCAAGAAGAAGTATGATACGCGAACTAAGAGGAGAATTTATTGCTCTCGGTTTCAAGATCAACGAGTTTCCTATTTTCTCTTTGTTTTCATATCAGTGAATCCAAAATTGTTGCATTACGAACTCAAATCAAGATCAAGGTCTCCCCAAATAAATTCTCAATGACATCCAATGTCATATTAATGTACAATGAAGTCAAGTAACATTTGATATTACTCCTCAAAACTTGCCTTGAGATAAAAGATCTGACACTAGAAACTATATTCAATCTTTGACCAGAGGCAAAAGTTAGCTATTTCCAATCTTCTTGTCTCCATTCTTCTTGATCCAACTGATCTTTAGATATTCTATTTGGTGTTATATGTAGTAGGCAGCATGCAAGCACCTTCTCAACTTTTTGGGGTCATTAGAAGTATTGTTTCATTTCCAGATTTTGCATGTGTGCTGTCTGGCACATCTGGTGTAGAATTGCCGCCCTAAGTTTTTTCATAGTCAGTAGACTCAGTACTGTCACTCGAATAGTCTTCATGCCCCATTCTGTTGTGCTGCACCTACTTTTGGAAATTTGCCCTCATTTAATCTATGGAATGTTTTCTAAAGGTTTTAGTAGCTATTTGTGGATCAAACCAAAATAGGTTTTGCATTGTTCTTCATTCACTTTAGTCCTTTTTTCTCAATTTTGTTTGAAGTCTCATTTTGTTCAAGCAAACTTGAAGGGTAGTTTCAAACATGGTTCTGTTATTTTGTGGATCCCTAAATCTACATCATTAAATGAACTGGCAATTTGTTATTCCTTACACATACCATGAGACGCTTGATTATTCGCATTTGATGAACTAATTTGACAGTATGGCTTGACTAATATTCAAAACTCCTAGAATGAGGATGCCTTGTGAATCACACTTTTATTATACTGATCAGTGGCTATTTCATCCCTTTTTCCCTCCACAATTGGCCATGGAGATCTGCAAACTTGGGCATGCAAAGGCAGCCAACAACAAATTGGAGAGAGGGTGCAACTCTTGCAGCAGTAGTGGGAAAGAGGAGAGAAACATAGTCACTACATATGGCAAGGAGGAAGGAGAGTCTCTTAGAACGGAGAAGAATGTTTTGTTGGTGCAATAGAATATTAAACAATGGAGAAGTATACAAAGAGTCTATTTACTTTTAGCACAAGGAGGTCACAATCGCTCTTATTTTTTAGATTTTAAATCGGGTGGTTATGAGCATGTCATTCACTAAATCAAGAAACGAGTTTGCTTGATTGGGTTTTTCTTGAGATCGACATGTGATATTGGTCGAGAGAGCTGATCTAAAAGGGTTTGCTTGACTGGGCTTTGCTTGAGATCGACATGTGATATTGGTCGAGAGAGCTGATCTAAAAGGATTTGCTTGACTAAGCTTTGTCCAGGGTTAAAGAGGCAACTTTTTATCTCAAAATATGTGATGTAATTTTCATTGGTATAATGGATTTCAGTTTTCTATACTCGTGGACGTAACCATTTTGAAACAAATCACATAAATCCATGTGCTCTTGTGGTGTGTGTGTCTTATGTTTTATTTCTCGCATTATAGTTTCTACCTTGCTTATTTTGTTTGTAGCAGGTTAAGTACACGATTTTGGTGGTATCCATTTTTTCGGATTCCTGATTTTGCATCTAAAAGGGTTTTTAATTCTTAAGAAGTAGTATCAGAGCGTATGGTTTAGTACCAGGATAGGGTTTGTGTATTCAGTTAAAGAAAAGCACAAAAGTGGAAAAATATGATGACAAGCACAATATTTTCAGTAAGAATAATGAAGGAATTTATTTGGCATAGATGAAGAATTCATAACGTTATCAAGTGGATGTTAACATGGTGAGCAGATGATTTTGATATCAAGCCCGAAATTGTTGGATATGGTGATATCCAAAATCACTCACATAAAAAAATCTCATATTTATGTGGGATTCGGATTGATATTGGGATTTTATTGATAAGTTTCCTAAATAAAATAGAAATTCAAAAAGATTAGGACTTTTGAAAATATTTGTAAAATCTATAGCAAGTTTTCAATTTAGTGTGGGTTCCTAAAGAGAAAGAGGCAGGGTCCTCTAGTGCATGAGAGGCAAGGTATACCCTTAGAGAGAAGAAACCTTCTTATGTAGAAAAACGCTACAATGGTATCTCTTATAGATAGAGAGGTTGGTTTTTTATAAAGAAATGGTTCCCGTAGAGATTTTAGGTGGTTTTCCCCTTTTAGTGAGAGAAAATCTCGATTACTCTCATGGTTCACTTTCTGGATAGTGGTTTAATTGTAGAATAGAGGTGGGAGATCGACGAGTGATGCTGATTGAGAGATTGAGTCTAAAAAGATTTTCTCAACTAGGTTTTGTCGAGGGTTAAAGAGGTAACTTGATATCCCAAAATATGTAATGTAAATTTTATTAGTATAGTAGATTTTAATTTGTCATGTTTGTGGATGTAGCCCTTTTGATATGAACCACATAAATATATGTGTTCTTATGGTTTGTATGTCTTATTCTCGTATTATAATTCTTACTTGCTTATTTTATTTTTAGCCAATTAAGTGCACATTTCTAGTTGGATCCAACTTTTGGGATTCCTATTTCTGCGTATCATAGGGTTCTTAAATCCTAACAGTTTATTCATGGCAGGTGTTTTGAAGTACATCAATTGCAATGTACCCCATGAAACAGGATTTCATTAAAAAAAAAAAAAAAATGATAGCGTTGTAATAAAATTATTTGGGAAAATGAGGCTCACCCCCTATGGTGGACTTTGATCCTACATATACACTTGGTCCATAAAAAACCCATGCAAACCGGCCCCTCCATCCCACAGGGGAACTTTTACTAATAGAACGTTAAATCCCCTCTCTCATGTTTTCACTATCTAAATCACCACTTTAACCCTATCCTTTATTCTACTCTCACTTTTAACCATATCTCAATTAAACATTTACAAACCCATATCCTGTTGAAACCCCTCACTCTCATTATCCTTTTCCCCTCTCTCCATCTCTACTTACCCAACCAATCAACTCTCTCTCTCTCAATAAAAAAGGAGAGAGAGAGATTTGAAGAATGGGGTAGAGAGAGTATGTCTAGAGGATGGCGAATAGAGAGGAAGGATCATGGGAGGTTTCAAATGAGAGATAAAGGTCATGAGAGGTTTGAAATGAGAGAGAGATAGGGACATAAGAGACACATTGATTGGGGCCGGTAGAGATGGAGAGATAGAGAAGGGGTAGAGAGAAGGGTTCAACGGGTCATGGGTTTGGGGATTTTTTTGGGACATGGGTTAAAGGGAAAAATAGAATAAAGAATAGGGTTAAAATAGTAATTTAGATAGTTCAATAGGTCTATGGTGTTGGCCCAAAAACAGTAAATCTTTTTTGTTTTCATAAGTAAGTAGCGCTACAATATCATGCAAATTGGGTTTTGAATTCAATCAGAAATATCATCAAACATTTTATGGCATACAACCCCTACTTCTCTATCAAAAATAGTCACAAATAGTTTACTGTAAATTTCTTTAAAATTCTAAAATGATGCTCCAAGATCACTACCTTTGACATGCACAAAGTAATAGAAATACAAACGATTGCAATTATTGTAAACCTCATCCAAACAACCCCAATGTAATTTCTATCAAGTATGTACTCATCATGACCTAATAAAATTACACCAACAAACTAAAAACAATGTCTTATAATTTTCTCCGTGCTAATGCAACATTTATCCAAACTTCAACTACTACTTTGGATATAAATTATGAATAAAATCATGGAACACACTCATTAAATCCGTAGACACCTGCAACCTCAATTTTGTTGCCTTTCTAGAGAGAGAAAACCATTTGAAATATGTTTTTTATGAATATATTGTAGGAGAGGAAAAATATACTTACTGCAAAACAAGAGTTAGCA